ATGCAGACTAAAACAACCAGAAAAATCTGCAGTAGCTGAACATGCCCTAAAACAAACTGGACATGAAATTCTATTTCAAAATACTGGACAACACCAGTAATCATTACGTCAGACTGCACAGGGAAGCCAGCAGAACTTCAACAAAAAAGAGGAAAGTTTGAAACTCAACAAAACTTGACTCCCAGCTCTCAAAAATACAGTGAGCAAAAGGTCAACGAACTCTACCCAGCCACAAGGACCGGGGATCACTACACACAAAAGACCAGCTAATGATACCCATCAACCACAGTGACAGATAATCTCTCCTTCTTATCACAGCAATACACTCACAACAATACACAATAATCACCCATCTACAGAAAAAGACAAAAGCCCATCTCACAGCCATAAATACTGCACTCCCAAGCTAACTACACCAGAGCACAGAGTGCTGTCCTCTGATGATGCCGGCCACAGAGAATGGCGAAATGTTAGGAAGAACAACCTTCAGAACATGGCCAAAGAGCCCGAAAAACCCACAACAACCATTAGATCCCGGCCGTGAAAGCCTTCGCGAATACATATTTTATTGTCATTACACAATGCATTCCACAGCACTAGATGACTTTACTACATCACATAATATTTCCCAGGAGTCTTTCATAAGAGATACTAAGAACATTCTTTTGGATTTAGCACAGATTTTGCTGAACTTTTAGAAAACAGGGAATTTAACTGAGAGTTTGCAAATTCCTTTTTACATTCAGATATCTAAGTCAAATAAATCAAAGGATGTGATGTTGTAAAGAGGCAACTAGAACTGTCTCTATCATTTGGTTTTGGAAGCATGGCTGCTTACACAATAAAAAGGGGAAGGGTGTCAGCTATTTTAAGTCCTAAGCGAACATGTGAATTAGTACAAGATGTCTATCAGTTTATAATATGCAAGAGTCTAATGATTATGGGTTTAAACAGCATTTTTCAGGGCAAATAACAAAGAAATGAGGGAAGAAATTTTCAGGAGGAAACAGCCCTTATACAGATGGAGAGATTTCTTTTGGATCAGGGCTCTACTAATTGTTTTGTCTCCAAGGGAGAAACAGCTAGCATGTTTATTTAAATACAAGCATCACAGGTTATTTGTCCCTAAGTACCTCTTGTCAAAAAACTAAGGAAAGGAATGTGAAGGGTTTAAAGTCCTCATGACTTTATAACTATATACACAATCTGACACCTTTAGATCTCAGGTCTACCCCACTTGTTGAACATAATGAAAATACTGATGTTTTTTGCTGCAGCTACATGTTAATATTTCATTACCAAATTATTATTATTATTATTGAAACCTGGATCCATGGAGGCGGGGTTTCAAGGATCAACCTGTGGAACTTAACCCACACACAGGCTAACTAAACATGTGTAGCTGCCAAAACTTAACTGACCACGTGAATATGACTAAGAAGCATAGTGACACAAACTGACACTATGCAAATACATCACATGACCACAAATGCCTGCATTAATACAGGTACTTGACAGATTTCATTTCCCAGAAGAAGACCAAGTGGAATGATCACTTAACAGGGCAGAGTTCAAACCAAGGCTTTTAAAGTAAAAAGCTTGAACAGCATGGCAGCTAAGCACTATGAGCCAGAAGATCAGGAGATCCCCAACTCAAACTGAGATTTAGCCATGCATTCATTAGAAAGGCACCATCTCTGTGACTGAGCCCTTTTTTTTGGTACCAAGTGGATAATAAGACTTGCTGGTCTTGTACAATTAGTGATAATTGTGGAGATATCGTACATGGAATAGTATTAGCAGTGCAAATGCTATACAAATGCTCAGTATTATTTTGTGTTTGTGGAGTTAAGTATACAGAGGTTTGGCTGTTACAAAACAGAACACATTTTGTCACAATACAGGTCACACGTTTTAGAGATGAAGCATGCTTAAAGGCCACCTCGAGTCCCCTTATCAGGAGAAAGGAAGCATATAAATAGGACAAACAAAATAAAGAAATAAAAAATAAAAATGCTAAAAGAAAATAATAATCTCAAGAAATGAAGGACATACAATCAGGACAGCATGTGTTTTGTATATAACATAAAGAGATTCTAAAAAAATGGTTAAGCAGAAAGGGCATGACTGTACATTGACAGATGCCAGTGAACAAAACTAAATGAAGAGGAATATAATATAAAATACATATTATGAGCAGCATTTGAAGTGCAATATACAAATAAATATGACAAATAATGCTGTTTGGCAAGTCTAGATAACGAAGGTACATATAGAACAAACTGGAAGTGTTTAGAGGAAGCATAATACTGGCACAGACTATTATACATCTTATAGGACCACTAACAAACAAGCCATGGAAAGATGGAACTCGCTACCTGCTCCAAAATCTCTACAATTTAATATTACAATCTGAAGCTTACTTGAGAATGCTTATTTTATACTTTTCTGATTGTTTATGTATTTATCTTAGTTGTCAACTATCATATTTTAAGATTGCTTTAATTTCTGTTTATATGTATAGCCTGACTGGCTATGAAGCAGTAAAATAATACTAAGTATTCACGGAGTGACCCTGAATATTGACCAAAAAACCCCCAACAACATAGAGATGAGAACCAGAGTTCAAGCATACATTGAATTCAGAAGGTCATCGATTCAGTCCCTGGCAACTTTAGCTAAGAATCAGGCAGTATATAAGATAAAGCCATTTCCCTGACTCTGCTCTGATTGGCAGAGCAGCTCTATCAAAAACAAAACGAAAGGTATAAATGGAGAAATACTGTATGTGAAATGAAGAGCACTCCATGTAAGCAAGAAAGTGTTTCTAGAACATACATTGTTGAGGAAGCTTACATGCTATTTATGTTTTCGAGGAGAGATACATAATAAAAGAGGATGGGACATACAGAAAGAGGTACAGTGTGGACTGATAAAGAAGAAATTATAACAACTAAGTGCAAGCAGTATTAAAATAGCAAAATATGCCAGAGAACAGAGATGTACATATCAAAGCACACACTGACAAGAGGACAGTGAAATGGAGTTATTTCACAGAATCACAGAATTTTAGAGCTATAAGAGGGTTCAAGGGTGATTACGTACCACCCCCTCCCAATGCAGGAAATCCACAGCTAAAATATCCTCAAAAATCTCCAGTGAAGGAAAATAATACCACCCTCCATCGCTGTCATGAGAATCGCAACTGTGCATTGGAACAGGAAGCACATTAAAGCACTGTTTTGATTACTGTGAAACCAACACTTTAAAAGGACCTAGGGAGATTTGTACGAGAGGAAAGCAGGGCAGCAAAGTATTACTATGTAGTAACAGCTACTTTTGTGCACCACGGAGCCAAATGAATGATGTTTGGGAATATCTACAGAAGCCTATGTTGGGGTAGCATAAAATGCCTGTTCAATCAAATGTGTGGCGATTACAGCAAACAGAAAATGAGGCAGGCTTTATGAGAGTTTAATCCGAGCCACAGCTCACCAGGGTTTTGCCTCCAAACTTATTTCAAAGAAGACAAAGCCCCTTGGCACTGCTGAAAAGAGTAAATTAAACACCAAGGGTCAGTTACATTTGGAACTATGATACAAGGTTTCCTGTAAGAACATATGGCTATACATCCCAACAGAACCTTTTGTAGAAGAAGCGTGTGACCATAAGAAATATACACACACAGAAATGAAGCTTTCGCAAAGAAAAGCTGAAACATATTTGAACTCAAGATGTTAGGAAGTTCATTCAGGAAGGCAGTTCTACTGAGGAAGAAGGAACATATGTGAGCACAAGGATTAACATATGGAAAAGCTATCAGAGCACAGATGAGAGTGGTAATGAGCAAATAATAGTTGGGACAGTTTGGGGCAAGGCAGGTAGGACTATCAGAACAACTGGATTGCAATCACAATTGTGTGTACCTGAACAAATAAAAATAGACATCCCACATATAAAGGGGGAAGGGATTTAACACACACATTATTTTTATGTGTTAGCAAGTCAGAACCAACTTACAGCAACCCTAGAAGGGGTTTCAAGGTAAATTAGATATTTAAGGAGTGGTTTTACTAGTTCCACCATCTCACGGTATTTCCATGGCCGAACAAGGATTCAAACTGTGATCTCCTGAGTCCTGGTCCGTCACTGTATCCACTACACTACATTCTATCGTATGTCATATATATGAAAGACAAAATCCTCTCTCCATGACTGTTTTTGTCTTGAAACTACCTTTCTCCAGCTATTGGGGGGCTTGGAGATTAGAAATAAACCCTGGAGTCTGTAGGGAGAAAAAAACAGCTAGAAGTAACAACTGTTTTCTGGGGGGAAATAGAAAGAAGAGTGGAGTAGTTCTCTTCCAATTTCTAAAATACTGTACTGTACTTTAAATCACACATCCCATATAAAGCAATATGAAAATTAAGGGCAATCCAAACAAGGTTGCTCCTGTCTGCCTGTAGTTTAGACCCCGCACACTGTCAAAACAGAGAGAGTTACATTATTGTTGCTATTGTTGCTGTCATTTATTGATGGTGATTATGACAATACAATAATTACTGTCATGTTGTTTTGAGTTCCTCCGTTTTAAACTCAGAACATAAAGCATGAATGCATGAACAGCCCACAGGTAAAGTACCTACCTGTCAGGGAAACGAGAGAGGCTGCAGTTGAGTGGACCAACAACCAAGCTAGTGCCCGAGGCAGACCCTACCAGAGACCGCATTTATTGATGGTGATTATGACAATACAATAATTACTGTCATGTTGTTTTGAGTTCCTCCGTTTTAAACTCAGAACATAAAGCATGAATGCATGAACAGCCCACAGGTAAAGTACCTACCTGTCAGGGAAACGAGAGAGGCTGCAGTTGAGTGGACCAACAACCAAGCTAGTGCCCGAGGCAGACCCTACCAGAGACCGCAGAGCAGCCTTGTGGAGCAGAGCAGAGTGCCTGGCTGGCTCGGCCGGGCCCGTTTCGCCTTCCCTCCACTTACCCCTCGTTGGCGCTCTCCGAGGTCTCGTCCTCGGCCATGGCAGCGCGTCGTCGTCGTCCAAGAGTCGGTCCTGGGAGGGCAGCCGGGAGAGCCGCGAGAGACAGAGCGACCACGGCAGCGCTGCCACCGCCAGCCATCACGGGACCCGCCCCGGCAGGCAGGCAGGCAGGCAGTCGCGAGAGCACGTCACTCTCACCCACCCCCTCAGCCCCGCCTCTACCACGGAGTAGGCGCGGCTAGAGCGGCCGCTCTGCGCGGAGGACGCGAAAGAACGCTCCGTGGCCGGCCAGAGGTCTTCAAGGGGCGGTCCCGGGGGAAGCGGCTCAAGGCGAGAGGGGCTGCCAAATACTCCCCTTTTCTTCAGGCTTCCTTCACCTTTTCCTTGAGGTTAAGGTTATTCCCTTCTCCGCTATTAGTGTGGAAAGTTGTTGCTTTGCTGATCCTAGAGAATAGCTGTCCTAATGTAAGTATCTTTACATCACGATCCTGCAAAAATATTGTTCAGTCAAGAAGAAAAGAAAGAAAAAGAGATTACCCACGGAGTTTTCAATTCCTCCTATGATATATGTCATATAACGCCAGCTTTACGTTGACCCAGGATCGCCGATTGCGACAAGCCGAACTGCTTTTACTGGCACACATGGCATTTTCCTTAGCTCTGTAGTGTCCAGAGAGAAATGATCCATGTCAACAGAGAAGGTGGCAGCAATGAGAGAAATGCATGAAGAACGTCTAGCTCTCCAGGTGATGTTGAACTAGAGCGCCTATCAGCTCTCATTGACTATGCTGGCTAGAGCTAATAGAGGACCAACGTGTCCACCTCCACTGTTTAAAAGGATGTTGTGTAGGTGACTGTGGGGGCGACTACCTGGGCAATTTACTCAGAAATTTGCAACGGATTAGGCATGGACGAATCTGAATTAAAACATGGTGACTATGACCTAAAGCTGAAGCAGACTGGAATTATTTCTTTTTAATAGAGAATTGCCTTTTTTGTGTTCAGCTGGAAAGGGTGGTTTATTGGTTTACCATTGCTTTTGCTCACTTTCTGCCCAGTGTGACTGCCTGATCCAAAGGCAAAGCATCTGTTGTCTGCAGATGTTTTGCTTTTTTAAAAAAGGCTTTCAAGGCAGTGCTGGAACAGCATATTCCTAGGTCCTTTCAGGAAAACTAAATGTGGAAAAAGGTGGAAATTAGCAGCTTGTCAAAGCCAGCTTCTGCTTTTAGGGAGCTACTGAAAATACTACTCTCTGTATCTGCCCCTGCTGACTCATGGTAATTGTTTGTTTTCTGGATGGGTCAATTACAGTTATTTCATTTGAGGATACCCAATTTGGGGGAAAAAAAACCACAGATCATAACGAATCCAAGCCTATTTTCTCCACGGAGCAGTCAAACCTTGTAGCATGTATTGCAACCCTTAGCTGTTCTACTTAAATGTGACTTTTTACAAAACCAAGTCTCATATTTTAACTGGGGCATAGATCCAAACTGCTTTATGCTTGTAACACTTCTTTTTTTTTTTTTAAGTGACCCAACCTGTCAGGTAACGTTGTTAATCATTTCCTAAAGAGCAGAACTATTTCCCTTAGTAATATTTCCAGGCTGTGTAAGTCACATTGAATCAGCAGTTCAAAGGAATGCAAATAATTACCTAACACTTACAGCTGACATTGGGAACACTTCTCTTCCCCCCCCATCCTAAATAGATTTCCTTGTTTTAAAATATTATTTTTAGTAGCAGTGGTGATTAGAGATTCAGCTGCTGGAATAGACTCAAATATATTTATGATAATATTATTTAGGAAGGCAAGTGGTGATGTTGAAAGAGAGCAGATGAAAGAAAGAAAGAAAGAAAGAGTAGCGTGATTTTCATTCTTAATTGTAGTAGCAAATGATCACTGTATTAAGAATTTATTTATTTATTTGATTTTTATACCACCCATCTGGCTACCAAGGCCACTCTGGGCGGTTTACACATACAATAATACAAAGCAATAAAACAGAAATAAATAACAACTTAAAACAAAACATAAAAGTAATGAAAATAAAATACATTAAAATACTGTAATGTATGGCAAACAGTTGAATGTATAGTATTAAAAGCACCACTGTATCAAGATATTAGAGTCTGGGAAGGCTGTTTAATTTTTTTAAATAAATGTCTAAATGTATTCACGAAGGCTTTCACGGCCGGGATCTAAAGGTTGTTGTGGGTCTTTTGGGCTCTTAGGCCATGTTCTGAAGGTTGTTCTTCCTAACATTTCTCCAGTCTCTGTGGCCGGCATCTTCAGAGGACAGCACTCTGTGCTCTAAATTGTTTTAATAATCTTTTAAAAGTTCCCAGTGAAGGGGCCAGGCAAATTTCAGGTGGGAGACTGTTCTAAAGTTGTGGAGTGATCACCAAGAAGGTCCGGTTTCTGGCCATCATTTTCAAGGCTTTTCTCAGGGTCAGGACTCTCAACTGCCTGGCCTGAGAAGATCTTAGAGGATGGGCAGATCTATTTGAAAGAAGGAGTTCTGCCAGATATTGAGCTCCTAAACTGTTTAGGGCCTTTCAGGTTAACATTGTCACCTGGAAGCTGGCATGGAAGTGGGCAGGTAACCAGTGCAGGGTGGCCAGGGTGGGGAAAATATGTTGGTTTCTACTTACCCCACTCAACAATCTGGCCGCTGAGTTCTGGACCCATTGGAGTCCCCGTAACAGCCCCAACGGCAGCCCCACGTGGAGAACATTGCAATAGTCTAATCTCAAGACTACCAGTGCATGAACCAGCATGGTGAGGGACCCGGTGTCAAGGTAGGGACACAACTGGGCAATCTGCCTTATATGGAAGTAGGTGGAATGGACCACAGACACTATCTGAGATTCCATTGTGCTGGGTCCAAGAGTACGCCCAAGCTGCACACCTCATCCTTTGCGGAAGGAGTGCCCCCCTCAAAAGAGAGGAAAGCACCCAGACTGCAAACATTAGAGGGCCCCACCCGCAGAATTTCCATCTTGTCAGGGTTCAGCCTCGGTCTATTATCCCTCATCCATCCAGCACAGTTTCCAGTTAGTGCTCAAGGGACAGGACGGCATCCACTGCACAAGGATGGAAGGAGAGATTGAGGTGGGTGTCATTTGCATATTGGTGACATGAAGCTCCAAAGAACCACCCCAGCATAAGGTTAGGGTGTAGTGACATCTGTTTCTGTTACAAGACCACTGCTCCAAAGTGAATGCCAAGAAGAAGAATATAAATATTATTGTTCATTAAGATGATTAATAACAATAATTTATAGCGTGATGCAGCTACAGTGCACAAGACCGTTGCGCGTCCTTGGAAACAGGCCCAGAGTTCGTGTAACATTCTGCTTGACATTTTGGCTCACAGGAGACATAAAGCCTGGCTTGAATGGAGACATTTTATAAACAAAGAAGGCCCAGAAGAACCAACAGGGTTGATCATGTTCCTGCATGCCTTTTCACCACAATCCTGCATTTTAAGACTACCTGTGAGATAGACTAAAGGGTCGGGTAAAAATAATATACTGGAGGAGACTCTTGAGAGTCCATTGGACTGCAAAGAGAACAACCGTATCCATTTTGAAAGAAATCAATCCTGACTGGAAGGACAGATCCTGAAGCTGAGGCTCCAATACTTTGGTCATTTCATGAGAAGAGAAATCTCCCTGGGAAAGACCCTGATGTTGGGAAAGTGTGAAGGCAAGAGAAAAAGGGGACGACAGAGAATGAGATGGTTGGACAGTGTCACTGAAGCTACCAACATGAATTTGACCCAACTCCGGGAGGCAGTGGAAGACAGGAGGGCCTGGCGTGCTCTGGTCCATGGGGTCACGAAGAGTCGGGCACAACTAAACGACAACAAAATTATCTACCTTGTAGTTAAGAGTAGGCCCATTTAAACCAATGGTGCTTACAAAGGAGTTGACTCACCAAATCTCCATTGATTCAAAGGGCCTACTGTAGTGCAATTTACTATGCTAAGTAACAGGATTTGGGGCAGTATGTGCTAAGGCTCATTTTCCTTGTTTAACCTTTTTACTAGACATTGGAATCTGTGAATACAATCCACTTAAGCACTCTCGCTGTCGCTGTCTCACACACAGACAACCTGTCTTTATAATTCTTCCCCCCCCCACAACAATTGCTTTGAAATCTGTAACAGAGCATTCTAGGAGGTTGAAATGTTCTGAAACTGACTTGTATGTGTTGCAATTTCTGAAGTCAGATTTGTATTATTTGTTTCTCTATATAGGTATTAATCTGTGTAGAATGTAGACGGGAACTGCAGACCAAAGGAAGGCATAGATCATATCATGAAATATACATTTAAGCCAGCCCCTGGTGTAATAACCTTGTGAAGGTCTGTTCTGGTGTTCCCAGGGTAGATGTGGGGACACAGTTGGTATCTGAGTTTGTTGCTTCAAGTTATATACTACTGCTAAAGCACTCTGTCAGAAGGTTGTTCTTCCTAACATTATGCAAACTTATGCAAACAACACTTTGCCCCCCGGTGAGCTAAATACTCATTTTACTGATTTCGGGAAGATTGAAGGCTGAGTAAACCTTGAGCTGGCTACCTGAATCTGTCAGGATCAAACTCAGGTCATGAGCAGACATTTGACTGCAGTACTTCAGTTTCACCACTGTGCCATATGAGGTGCTTTCATACTTGTTTATGATGGGGCGTTTGTTTCTAAGTGATTACAGGCCAGCTGCCAGAACCTGAGATAGGGAAATATTGTTGTTCAGAATGACCTGTGGATCACTGAGTGTGTATTTACATGGTGTCATTTGGGAGCTGTAGATGACTACCAGTGGTGTTAATTTTTCTCTTTTGCATGTGCCTTATACGTAGTAGGGCCTTTCCGGATACTAATTTCCCTCTGTCCATTTGTTTTTCCATCTCATTGAGTGTGTACTGTAATTTTAAAAAAATGCTTGCTGTAAATCCATGAGCTTTGGGTCTCTGTTTTGTCTACAGCTGAGCTCTCCAGTTATAATCCTGTCTTCTCAGATAGATGCAGCATTGATGGCTCTCTTTTGCATCATCTAGTGTAACTGTATTGCATATATCTTTAGCAATCTGTTGTCTTTATGGTATGGAACTCTTGCCTACTTGCTTCCATGTGCAATACATAATTGTGCAATGTTCTGCAGCATCTGCAAAG